GTGGGTCTGGTGATCTCTCTGTGCCCCCCAGGTGGGCAGTGCCCGGCACATGGTGCGGGTTGTGAACATCTCCACAAGGAAGGCGGCTCGGGGGGCTTTTTGGGGGGGGATTTTGGGGGTCCCAGGGTGGGTGTGGGGGTCCCAGGAAGCGTGTGGGGGTCCCAGGGTGCCCCCCAGCCCCTTTTTTGCCCCCCAGGTGGGCAGTGCCCAACACATGGTGTGGGTTGTGAACATCTCCACGGGGAAGGTGGCGCGGGGGGCTTTTTGGGGGGGGATTTTGGGGGTCTCGGGCAGGTTTGGGGGTCCCAGGGTGTGTCTGGGGGGTCTCAGAGTGGGTCTGGTGATCTCTCTGTGCCCCCCAGGTGGGCAGTGCCCGGCACATGGTGCGGGTTGTGAACATCTCCACGGGGAAGGCAGCTCGGGGGGATTTTGGGGGGGATTTTGGGGGTCCCAGGGTGCCCCCCAGCCCCTTTTTGCCCCCCAGGTGGGCAGTGCCCGGCACATGGTGCGGGTTGTGAACATCTCCACGGGGAAGGCGGCTCGGGGGGATTTTGGGGGTCCCAGGGTGGGTGTGGGGGTCCCAGGCTGGGTGTGGGGGTCTCAGGATTGGTGTGGGGGTCCCAGGGTGCCCCCCAGCCCCTTTTTGCCCCCCCAGGTGGGCAGTGCCCGGCACATGGTGCGGGTTGTGAACATCTCCACGGGGAAGGCGGCGCGGGGGGGCACCGGGCGCCTCCCCGGGCAGGTCCTCGCCCTCTGCTTCGACGCCCCCGGGCGCGTCCTGTGGGCCGGGGACGACCGGGGCTCGGTGTCCTCGTTCCTGTGCGACCCCGGCACCGGTACGGGCACTGGGGGCACTGGGAGGGACTGGGAGGGGACTGGAGAGCACTGGAAGGGCACTGGGGGCACTGGGACAGCCTGGGAGGGACTGGGAGTCACTGGGGAGGGCACTGGGAGGTATCTGGAGGGCACTGGAAGGGCACTGGGGGCACTGGGACAGACTGGAAGGGGATTGGGAAGGGCTCGGACAGACTGGGAGAGGATTGGGAGGCACTGGGACAGACTGGGAGGGGATTGGGGGGCACTGGGAGGGACTGGGAGGGGACTGGGGGCACTGGGAGGGAACTGGGAGGCACTGGAAGGGACTGGGACAGACTGGGAGGGGATTGGGGGGCACTGGGAGGGACTGGGGGAGACCGGGGGTGGGTACAGATAGACTGGGAGGCACTGGGAGGGACTGGAAAGACAATGGGGAGTCTGCGTCCTCCCTGTTTGACCCTGGTGTGGGGTACTGGGAGGGACTGGGGGGCACTGGGAGGGACTGGGAGTCACTGGGGGGCACTGGGAGGGACTGGGGGGTACTGGGATGGCACTGGGAGGGTTTTGGGGGGCACTGGGATGGCACTGGGAGGGTTTTGGGGGGTGTCCCACATCCCTGTCCCCCCAGGCCGGCTGGCCGAGGCCTCGGGGATGCTGGTCCAGGTGGCAACTGGGAGGGATGGGGAGGTACTGGGGGGCACTGGGGCGGTCCTGGGGGGCACTGGGGCGGTCCTGGGGGGCACCGTGGGGTTTTGGGGAGGGGTCTCACTCCCTGCCCCCCCAGGCCGGCTGACCAAGGCCTCGCGGGTGCTGGTCCAGGCCGGCGGCTCCATCACGTCGCTCTCGGCCCGGGCCTGGGCCAGCCGGGAGGCGCCGGACCCGTCCCTGCTGGTGAACGCCTGCCCCGACCGCCTGCTGCTCTTCCGGTACGGGGAGGGCTCGGGGACATCGAGGGGACACTGGGGACACTGGGGGGACACTGGGGGGACACTGGGGACATCGTGGGGACACTGGGGACACCGGGGACACTGGGGGGACACTGGGGATATGGAGGGGCTTCGGGGAATTTGGGGATTTGGGGTCAGCCAGACCCGTCCCTGCTGGTGAACGCCTGCCCCGACCGCCTGCTGCTCTTCCGGTACGGGGAGGGCTTGGGGACACTGGGGACACTGGGGGGACACTGGGGACACCGAGGGGACACTGGGGACATCGAGGGGACACTGGGGGGACACTGGGGACATCGTGGGGACATTGAGGGGCTTCGGGGGATTGGGGGATTTGGGGTGGACCAGACCCGTCCCTGCTGGTGAACGCCTGCCCCGACCACCTGCTGCTCTTCTGGTACGGGGAGGGCTCGGGGACATCGAGGGGACACTGGGGGGACACTGGGGACATCGAGGGGACACTGGGGACACCGGGGGGACACTGGGGGGACACTGGGGACGCTGGGGGGACATTGTGGGGACACTGCGGACACCGGGGGGACACTGGGGACATCGTGGGGACACTGGGGACACTGGGGGGACACTGGGGATATTGTGGGGACACTGGGGACATCGAGGGGACACTGGGGGGACACTGGGGACACTGGGGGGACACTGGGGATATGGAGGGGACATCGAGGGGATTGAGGGATTGGGGGTGGACCAGACCCGTCCCTGCTGGTCAACGCCTGCCCCGACCGCCTGCTGCTCTTCCGGTATGGGGAGGGCTCGGGGACACTGGGGACACCGGGGGGACACTGGGGACATCGAGGGACACTGGGGACACCGAGGGACACTGGGGACACCGAGGGGACACTGGGGACATCGAGGGACACTGGGGACACCGGGGACACTGGGGACACCGAGGGGACACTGGGGACACCGGGGGGACACTGGGGACATCGAGGGGATTGAGGGATTTGGGGTGGACCAGACCCGTCCCTGCTGGTCAACGCCTGCCCCGACCGCCTGCTGCTCTTCTGGTATTGGGGGAGGTTTTTTGGGTCATTTTTGGGTATTTGTGACCCCTTTTACCCCTCCCCAGGGTGGTGGAGGACGAGAGGGATTTGAGGATTTTAGGGGCAGTTTTTGGGGTAATTTCTGGGTATTTGTGACCCCTTTTACCCCTCCCCAGGGTGGGGGAGGACGAGAGGGATTTGAGGATTTTAGGGGCAGTTTTTGGGGTAATTTCTGGGTATTTGTGACCCCTTTTACGCCTCCCCAGGATGATGGAGGACGAGAGGGATTTGAGGATTTTAGGAGCAGTTTTTGGGGTGATTTCTGGGTGTTTCTGACCCTTTTACCCCTCCCCAGGGTGGGGGAGGACGAGAGGGATTTGAGGATTTTAGGGGCAGTTTTTGGGGTGATTTTTGGGTGTTTCTGACCCGTTTACCCCTCCCCAGGGTGGTGGAGGACGAGGGGGGCTCGGGGGCCCCGGGGCTGCGGCTCCGGCGCAGTTTCCCCACGCGGCACCGGGAGCAGCCCCTGAGGAGCTGCTTCTGTCCCCTGATGTCCTTCCGGCAGGGAGCCTGCGTGGGTGAGCACTGGGAGGGACTGGGAGGGCACTGGGACAAACTGGGACAGACTTTGAGGGGACTGGGACAAACTGGGAGGGACTGAGAGGGACTGGGAGGGCACTGGGACAGACTGGGAGGGGACTGGGACAGACTGGGACAGACTCGAGGGGACTGGGACAGACTGGGAGGGACTGAGAGGGACTGGGAGGGACTGGGAATGGACTGGGAGGGACTGGGAATGGACTGGGACAAACTGGGAGGGCACTGGGACAGACTGGGAGGGACTGGGACAGACTGGGAGGGACTGGGACAGACTGGGAGGGGACTGGGACAGCCTGGGAAGGGACTGGGACAAACTGGGAGGGACTGGGACAAACTGGGAGGGGACTGGGACAGACTGGGAGGGGACTGGGACAGACTGGGAGCGGACTGGGACAGACTGGGAGGGACTGGGACGAACTGGGAGGGGACTGGGACAAACTAGGAGGACTGGGACAGACTGGGAGGGGACTGGGATAAACTGGGAGCGGACTGGGACAAACTGGGAAGGACTGGGACAAACTGGGAGGGGACTGGGACAGACTGGGAGGGGACTGGGACAGACTGGGAGGGGACTGGGACAGACTGGGAGGGACTGGGACAAACTGGGAAGGACTGGGACAAACTGGGAGGGGACTGGGATAAACTGGGAGGGACTGGGACAAACTGGGACAGACTGGGAGGACTGGGAAGGACTGGGACAAACTGGGAGGGGACTGGGATAAACTGGGAGGACTGGGACAGACTGGGAGGGACTGGGATAAACTGGGACAGACTGGGAGGACTGGGACAGACTGGGAGGGACTGGGATAAACTGGGACAAACTGGGACAGACTGGGGGGGTGCAGGGACAGCCACCCCCCCAGCCCTGTCCCCGGTGTCCCCAGGCAGTGAGAGGGCAGTGGGGTCACAGCTGTCCTTGTTGTCCCCAGCAGTGACGGGCAGCCAGGGTGGCACTAAAATCGCGCCCCCAACCCTGTCCCCAATGTCCCCAACGTCCCCAGTGTCCCTTCAGGGACCGGCAGCGAGGGCAGCGGGGTCCCCGCCCTGTTCTCTGTCCCCAGTGTCCCCAACGGTGACGAGCAGCAAGGAGGGCACCTGGGATTGCATTGCCCAGCCCTGTCCCCATGTCCCCAAGATGTCCCCATGTCCCCGATGTCCCCATGTCCCTGATGTCCCCATGTCCCTGATGTCCCCAACGTCCCCAATGTCCCTGATGTCCCCAATGTCCTTATGTCCCTGATGTCCCCGATGTCCCCATGTCCCTGATGTCCCCATGTCCCTGATGTCCCTGATGTCCCCATGTCCCCAATGTCCCCAATGTCCCCATGTCCCTGATGTCCCCAATGTCCCCATGTCCCCGATGTCCCCGATGTCCCTGATGTCCCCAACGTCCCCAATGTCCCCATGTCCCCAACGTCCCCAATGTCCCCATGTCCCTGATGTCCCCAATGTCCCCATGTCCCTGATGTCCCCGATGTCCCCGATGTCCCCGATGTCCCCAACAGCCCCATGTCCCCACCAGTGACAGGCAGTGAAGGACTCTGTCCCCAGTGTCCCCAGTGTCCCAAATGTCCCCGATGTCCCCAGCGTCCCCACCAGTGACAGACAGCGAGGAGAGCAGTTGGGTGCCATCTGTTGTCCTTGTCCCCATGTCCCTGATGTCCCCCACCAGTGACAGACAGCGAGGAGAGCACTTGGATGCCATCTGTTGTCCTTGTCCCCAGTGTCCCTAATGTCCCCACCAGTGACAGACAGCGAGGAGAGCAGTTGGGTGCCATCCTTTATCCTTGTCCCCAGTGTCCCTGATGTCCCTGATGTCCCCAATGTCCCCACATCCCCACCAGTGATGGGCAGCGAGGAGAGCAGTTGGGTGCCATCCCTTATCCTTGTCCCCGGTGTCCCAATGTCCCCACCAGTGACGGGCAGCGAGGAACTCGATGGGATGACATTTCCCAGCCCTGTCCCAAATGTCCCCACCAGTGACAGACAGCGAGGAAAGCACTTGGGTGCCATCCCTTATCCTTGTCCCTGATGTCCCCAATATCCCTGATGTCCCCACCAGTGACGGGCAGCAAAGGCCATCAATGGGATGACATTTCCCAGCCCTGTCCCTGATGTCCTCGATGTCCCCACCAGTGATGGGCAGCGAGGAACTCGATGGGATCACATTCCCCAGCCCTGTCCCTGATGTCCCTGATGTCCCCAATGTCCCCACATCCCCACCAGTGACAGACAGTGAGGAGAGCAGTTGGGTGCCATCCCTTATCCTTGTCCCCATGTCCCTGATGTCCCCACCAGCGACAGACAGCGAGGGAGTCAATAGGATGCCATTTCCCAGCCCTGTCCCTGATGTCCTCGATGTCCCCAATGTCCCCACCAGTGACGGGCAGCGAGGAACTCGATGGGATCACATTTCCCAGCCCTGTCCCTGATGTCCTCGATGTCCCCAATGTCCCCACCAGTGACGGGCAGCGAGGACGCCTCCGTGCACTTCTTCGACGTGGGCCGGGCGGCGCGGGCCACCGTGAACACGCTGCAGGGCCACGGGGCCGCCGTGCTGGCCGTGGCCTTCAACTGCGACGAGTCCCTGCTGGCCTCGGGGGACGCCGCCGGCACCGTCATCGTCTGGCGCCGCCAGCACGCCTGAGGCGCCCCAAAAACCCCAAAATCTGCCTGGAAATCCCCCCCAGAAATACCCCAAAAGCTGCCCCGGCGTGGCCTCGGTGTGCGGCGAGTTTCGTGGGTGGCGTGTGGCACCAAAACCCTGCCCAGAATCCCCCAGTCCTGCCCAAAACACCCCAAAATCCTTCCCAAAAACCCCAAAACCCATCCCAAAACCTTCCCCGAACTCCTTCTGAAAACCACCCTGATATTCCCCCCAAATACCCCAAAACTCCCCCAAAATTTCCCTCGATCCACCCAACCTGGTTCTTGAAGTGTGACGCGTTCAGCGGAGCCGTGTGCCCCCGAAACTCCCCCAAACTTTTCCCGAAACTTTTCAGACCCTCCTCAAAATCCTGAGACCCCCCTAAACCTCCCCAAATCCTCTCCTGGACCACCCCAAAACCGCCCCAGGTCATCGTGTGGCACCCCCAGCACACCTGGATCCCCAAAACCCCACCAGGACCCCCAAAACTTCACCTGGATCCCCTCAAAACCCCACCTGGACCCCCAAAACCCCACCAGGACCCCGAAAACTTCACCTGGATCCCCTCAAAACCCCACCTGGACCCCCTTAAAACCCCACTGGGACCCCCAAAACCCCACC